AAAATATCTCCTAAGAGGAAGGTTTTAGGTAAAATATGCCTGAGTAATTAACTTAATGGAAAATTTAGTGGGAATAATATTGTTTCATACTAAAGCATACTAAATGGATGGTTTCATTATGTGGAGTGGAGCTTACTATATATATTACAAGTTTTAACCTCTGATAATTGAAGCATGGTTGTTCACTGTTATCTATGAAATGAAACCAACCAGCATATAAGCAATGGCTAAATTACTCCATTACTATTTTTACGTCATGAGTAAAATAAATGTAAATTAGCTTAAAATGTTAAGTCAGTATTACTATAATTTATTATTTTTGTGTAATAAACATGATTTTGAAATAATATTTAGGCTAACTAAACCTCATTAGCTTAACTCTCATTTTTTTTCCAGTTAGATGTTTGCCCGATATCTCTCAGTCTATCTTCAGAACAGAATTCACACTCTCCCTCTGGGAACCTGCTCCAAAGGACAGGATGGCTGGAGGGGAGAGTGGGAAGAGAGGTCAGAGAGGTCCTGGAAGGCCAGGATTATGCTAGGACTTGTCAATCTGCTAGCAATGTTGGATTTAGTCTGTATTCAATATGTCTGTATCTTGGGGAAAGTAAACCTTTTCATTTGTGTTAAGATACATTTATTCTTCCAGGACATAGATATAATGGAACAGGGAATTTAAGATTAACTTTAATATACTCTCCCAAAGTACCTAATCAAATATAGTCACAGAATAATAGTATCTGTTCTAGTCCTATCTAATAATAGAGAAACATGGTAATTAGCCCTAACTTCGCTACCCTTCCCATTGGCTAATCAGCGAGATATTCAAATTAACTGCCAGCCAAGATGGCGGCCGGCAGCCAGGCAACTGAAACCAGCTGGAGGCTTGCTTGCTCCAGTGATGGAGGAAGCCAAGGTTCCCCACCTGCCACTGCCCCGTTCTGAGCTTGCACTCTAAGAAACATTGTTGAAAATATAGAAGCTAAACAAAACCCAGAAACCTGGCCAGGATCTTAGAGCTGGAGTCGCAACAAAGTTTCAAATACAAAAGGTAATCAAAGCCCAGAAACCTGCTTTCAGCAGCCGAGATCTCAGAGCTGGAGCGGAGCCTCAGAGCTAAAGCTGGCTCTCAGCTCCAGTGACAGCCATAGAAGGTAAGTAAATCCCAGAATAAAAGAAAAAAAGGAGAAGTTGGGAGCTTCAGTCCCCCGCCAGCCTGAAAACGGCCCTCAGCCCCTCACCCAGACTGGCCAGGCCCCCCAGTGGGGACCCCCACCCTGAAGGGGGTGTGACCAGATGCAAACAACCATCATCCCCTCACCCAGGCTGGCCAGGCACCCAAGCGGGACCCCCACCCTAATACAGGACACCCGTCAGGGCAAACCAGCCGGCCCCCACCCATGCACCAGGCTTCTATCCTATATAGTAAAAGGGTAATATGACTCCCAGCACCGGAATTAGCGGAGCCACGAGGCCTCCCAGCCCCGGGATCAGCGGAGCAGCAAGGCCTTACTGCCCCTGTGTCAAGTGGAGCTGTGAGGCCTCCCAGCACCAGGATCAGCAGAGCAACGAGGCTTCCTAGCACCGGGATCAGCTGAGCAGCGAGGTCTCACTGCCCCGGTGTCAAGCGGAGCCGCAAGGCCTCCCAGCACTGGGATCAGTGGAGTTGTGAGGCCTCCTGGCCGCTGGAGCAATGTGACAGGGGGCAGCGCCCAAACCCCCTGATCGCCCTGCGACTCTGTGTGTGACTGGGGGTGGGGCCACAACCTCCCTGTCTGCCCTGCTCTGTTCATGACAGGGGAAGACGCCCCAATCCACTGATCACCCCTGCTCTGTGTGTGACAGGATGCCGCGCCTCAACCCCACATGGGCCCTGCTCTGTGTGTGACGGGGTGGAGCCGCAACCTCCCCATCAGCCCTGCCCTGAGTGTGATGGGGGAGTGCCCCAATCCCCTGATCCGCCCTGCTCTGTGCATGATGGGGAGGTGCCCCAACTCCCCAATCGGCCCTGCTCTGAACCCGACCAGGGGCTGAGGGGCAGGCACCTAGGGATTGGGCCTGCCCTCTGCCACCTGGGAGCGGGCCTAAGCCACCAGATCATTATTTCCCAAGGGGTCCCAGACTGTGAGAGGGCACAAGTTGGGCTGAGGGATTATCCCACCACCACCACCACCACCGCCAGTGCACAAATTTTTGTGCACCGAGCCTCTAGTATAATTATAGTTTTCTTAGGACTGTTTCCATATCATTAAGGAAAAAATCATATTAGAAGCTGTCTGTTTAAATCCAGATTATTTTAAAAACAAAGTTTATAAGTTCTATTTTCTTTTCCATAATTTTTCTCCCCTTTGGAGGGACAGTTGACTGATGTAGTATTTTATTTGCATTTTATGCTGTCATCATTTTCAGTAAGGGCATTGTGTTGGTAAAATTCAGTTTTAGAATTGTGATTTAATTGGAGATGGGCATTGATTATATAACAAAGAATGAATTTTCTTACTAGATTTGATGACTTTAGATAGTGCAGAGCCTACAAACAAAAACTTTCTGGGGGCTTCTCATTTGGTGTGCATAATAAGCAGAAATGGTGCCATAGGGGAGGTAAGAGAATAAGGATTAACATCAGCTTCAAGAGACTGGAAAGTGCTGTTTTCGAGTGTAAATCCTTAAAATGTTGTAAAATCTAAATTTTTATTCGAACAGTCTCTGAATAAGTGTCTTGTTAATTTTTATAAGATAGCCCAAAGGGTGATAGGAATTCAAGAAAGGTGAAAATTGGCAAGTTATATAAATGGTATGAAAGTTGAATAGTTGCTTGAAAATTTACATTTATTTTATGACTCTCTGTCATTGTTTCCTATCCATATTTTACTCTTCTTGAGTCTATAGTAGTCTAGATAAAAATAAAACTATTAATGAAAATAGTTAGATTTTTAAAATCCAAATAATTATTGGGTTTGAATAATAATAAACTCACAAAACACAGCAGACTTTGATGTGGAATCTATAATTCTATTTGGTTTTGTGATAACTTAAAATACTCATATTCATTTTGAACTATTTTGTGTGCTGTAAAATTATATTCCTATTCTTTTTTTTTTTTCCAGTTCCTTGGGGCAATTAGAGTGTGAACTCAGAAAGAAAGTGCATTATCATTATCTCAGAGCAGGTTTTCTCTAGAATATTTTAGCTTCTGAGTAATTCCAATGTGTTTAGTTTTGAAAATTAGGGAGGAAGAGGAAGTTGACTCTTATCTTCCCAGTTCTGTTGGTTGTTGGCCCTCCTTATGAAGACTGGGTATTATTACAAACAAGCAACTATTACTTGAGTAAGTCACCTGATCAGCTGAGGTTTTTCTTTGTACTAACATTTTATGTTTTTCATGGGTAGATAACTTAATGAAGAATTATATCAATTGAGATTGATTTGTGGATAATTTAGTAATGAGTAAAAATCTTAGAAATAGTATTAACACAAGTGAATTATAAAAACCAAATCAAGAGCCACATTTATGAATTGGAAAATTAGTGGATGTCTTTTCTTTTGTCAAGGTAGAATGCCCAAATTAATACATGCTTAGAGCGTGAAGAAATCAAAATGATCAGTTTCTATTAGAGATATTGATAAGCTGTTATCCTTTGTTATTAAGCTTAAGAAAATTGTTTCCCTTCAGTGATTAAATGAGATATGGTTTGATTTTTAACATTGTTAGAACTAAGTTTAGTTTGGTTTTGCAACATTATTTGACCCTTTCTGAAAATTTTTATATAATAAAATAGTTTTAAATTTTACTTCATGACATCTCATCAGCTAATTAGATTCTTTGCTTATCTCATAACCTTATTTAAGTATCACAGAGGTAATTTTGTTGATTGCTGCTTTGGAGGTGCAAGATGTGTGCAAATTCTTATTTGAGATTAAGGATATCTTTAAGTTCTGAGGAATTTTTAATTCACTTGACAGGTTGTATTCCAAATCTTGCCTAGATTCACTAGAACAAAGTCTGTGTTTCAGAAATGTGAGTCAAGAGTATGGAATGTACAATGATGATATTCGTTATGTCCCTGGGAAATATAGTAAGTATTTTAGTTGAAGGAAAAGGATTTGTGGTCAGATAAATTTAGAATATGTAGGACATGTTGTTTTGAGCAAAGCTAAGCTTTACTGAAGATTTCTCAGAGCTATTAATATTGAAGTATTTTTTAAAATTTAATCTTATTTTAAGGACTATAAGTATCTGGTCAGTCATTGATCTTATTTTGTTTTGTGTAATCTTTTCCTCCCTTCACAAAATAATATGCAAGTTCCTTGTCAGATATCACATTATTTTATTAATGGGAAGAAGGAAATGTCTTTTTATTCAAGGGACTTATAATTAAGTCACACATATGGGACATTTCATATATGATTTATTAAAATTAAATGAATTTAATTTTGTTTTTTATTTCAATTTTAGTCCCTTGGATTTTGTAGTAACTAATGAGGAAATAAGGTAAAAGATAGATGAGATAGAAAATGAGAATAGGATAAATTCAACAGAATGAATTAGACTTAAATTTTGTTTTGTCTTTTCTATGAAATGCTTATGGGACTAAGCTTTTGCAAGATACATGCATATTTATATCTAAACAGATTTTTACAAAATAAATAAGGTAAGTTGCTGCATTACAGTGTTCTGGAATTTTTCACAGTGGTGTTTGGGGTATTTTAGAATCTATTAGTGAAGAGAACTGATCTGCTGTCATATCCTCTAATGGGAGTCATCTGCAATTTTTAAATTATTGCTACTTGTGATTCTGGTCATAATTTGATACTGCTCATTCTTTCACATTTTTCTAAAATTTGAGACTTAATCACTCCTTTCTACTCACTTGTCAACCCTGTTTCCAGTCATCACTTTTAATTTACTTCCTAGTTTTGAAGGTTTGACCCCAGAGAGTTGTAGTATATATCAGAACATATACTGCATACTTTTCCAAGTTTATCCTGTAACTATTCTACACAAATGTCTGTTTCAGATGGAGCAGCTATCAGATGAAGAAATTGACCATGGTGCTGAAGAAGACAGTGACAAAGAAGATCAAGATTTGGACAAAATGTTTGGAGCCTGGCTGGGGGAGCTAGACAAACTCACTCAGGTTAGAAATAGTGCTTGGAAAACTGGTTGAGGATTTTAAGTCATCACCGTGTGCTAAAAGTTTACAGTATAATCATAAGGGTATGGTGGATATAGGTTACATTTTAAAATATTACTATAAATATAAAACATCCAAAACATTAACAAGTGAATGAATGCTACAGGACAACATATTATCTTCTCTGGTTATTTGAAGGAGTTTTAAAATATACTTGTGACTGAGGTTCTGTTTATCTACAGGGATTACTTACAATCTCTTTCATAAATTGAGATTGCTGGCTAGAAAGCTTTAAAGCCTAAATTTTAGCACATCCTATTTCATAATTTAGTGAATTTTTGAATACTTTACAGCATAAATAATATCTTCACACATGAAAATATTTTCTATTACATGATTGCAGAGTATTGACAAAATTTCATTCCCAGCTGCATTTTAAAACAGTGGAAAAGCCTTTTTATTTAGTTTTCTCGTATCATGAGTTTTTTGTTTTATTTATTCTTTTTATTTAAAGAATGACCTTATCCTCTAAACCAGGTCACTTTTATAATAAAAGGGTATTCTGTTACTACCCCAGTTGATATATTATATTCAATATATAAAGATGGTTATGTTTATTAAAACAACTTTAACTTTATATCATTGAGAACATTAGAACAAAAATTATTTTTATTCATCCTTAATATCTCTGGGAAGAACTTTTATGTAAAATTACTTAAATTTGAGATTCCTTAACCAGTAAAAAAAGTAGGTAGTAAGCTGGAAACTTAAAGTACTGGTTTGTTCCTCTCGGTAACAGTCTGTGATTGAAACTGATAAACTCTTCACATAATTCTAAGAGTAATTCTAAGATGGATCGTTTTGAAAAGCAGACATGTTTGTGACCATAATCTGTTAATGTTCAATTTTCAGGAGAATGCTTTCACTTCTACTAGGATCTCAAAAGAATCATTCCCTTCATCTCCAATCAGGAGAAATAAAATACTTGTTGAGGGAAAGGTCTTTCTTATATCTGTAATTGTGAACCTATTTCAGTTTAATTCTTAAATTTTTTAAAAAGGTGATTTTGGTGTAGAGATGATGACTAGGCTATGAATTTCTATGAGGAGGAGAAAAAGGAATGAGGAAGCAAAATAAAGGAAATCGAAAATGATAATATGTGCCAGCTGACATGTGTGGGGTTGCTTTAACTGTATGGTTTTATTACTCATATTTGGGAAGGGAGCCAAAAAGAGAAAAGACAGGTAGGTATAACTCCAGCTGCTCTAGGTGGAGCAAAATTATATTCCTATTCTTTTCAGGTGGGCTTCTACTGGTTCAGTGCCTTTTAGTCTTCTTTATATTTTAAATCCCCAGATTTCTAAATGTGAAGAGCCACTCACCACAAAAGTTGGCTCCTAACTAGTGCTGTGACTGTTCTTTTTATTATACAAATCTGTCTTTAGAGAGAAAGGTTTAAAAAAACTCTTGTGTAATGTGGCTCACTGCTAACAGTTGCATTTTAATACTTCAGAAAGTTTCAAAAACTTTTACTAAGTTAGTGGCTAAACTTCAAGTTTTTTAATTTATTATTTTAGTTCACTACAATGTGTCATCTGTGTGCCTCTATCACACATACAATGTTAATGGGATTTTCAATTTTATATTAAGTCAGGTTTAAGTTTTAAGTGGTTGGTGACGCTTCTGAAATCATTTGTAAAATTTGTGTGTATTTGCATTTTTCTGGAAGGTACATACAGCATATAGCTTTTTTCAAATTCTCAGTGACCTTCCCCCACACCCCCAGAGAAAAGTTAAAAACCACCCTATTAGATTACGAATTTCGGCATCAAGG